CCTACCACTGAAACCCCAGGTCTGCTGTGGATCCCACCCACAAGAGAATTTGTAGTATCTGCCTTTGGATGACTGTCTCAGCACTCCTACCTACGTTGAGGGAATCCCTCCTCTTTCAGTGCTGAATAGTGTTCCAGTGTGCAGGTAGACCGATTTTCTTTCCCTACCCACCTGTGGGTGAGCGTTTATGTCGGCTCCGTTCTTCCCATCATGAAAGGTGCTGTGATAAGCGCAAGAGTGTGAATGTCTCTTTGACGAACTGATGTCAACTCTTTGGGGTAAACACCAAAGTGGAACTTCTAGGATGATAATCTTAAAGCTGTAGAGGAAGCTTTTTCACGGCCACATCTTGCCTTTAAATTGGTGAGTGTCTGACCTGATCCTGTTTTTGTTGTTGTTGTTTTGGTTTGTTTTTTTCTCTTAAAAAACACAAAACAAACAAACGAAAAAACCCTAATACTATTCAATTCAGCAACAATGAATTAACGCTGTTGTCTTTCAAATCACCGCTTCCCAAGCACAAAACCAGGGGGACTCCTTCCATCCGCAACCAGCTCTAACTTACCAGAACACATTTCTGCGGTGTTCCTGCCATAGCATTTGGGTGTGATGACACCCCACTTACCATCACTGAGAGTCCTGCCGCCGTCTGGCCAGTGTGCTCTGATTCCAAAACCTCACCCACCCAGAGTCCATTTCCTAGAGATACCAGCTCCACGTGTCTTTAGTCCTTGGAGATCTGGGTGCAGGTGCTCTGTTAAGGAAATCCCTCCCAAGGGAGACTGGAAACTGAGTAGAAGTCAGAGGAAGGGAGGAGGAAGAACAAGGTGTGGGGAGCTGCAGTTTGATCCCATAGAGAGCTTAAGAGTGTCAACCACGCCTTGGGGTTTGTTCTGACTTGTTGCAAGGGAGCAGGCCTTTCATACTCCCACTCCACTGGGTCCCTGCCTAAGCCCCATCTCAAGGTGGGTGGGTGTCAGTTCCCAGGCAGTTTTACCTCTTGGTGCCTGTGGGCAAAGAGACCTTGGTAGCCCTCAAAGCAGCCCTTTGAAGGGAGTCTGGTGTGGACTGCTAAGACAAAAGCCACAAAAATGGGTAGAGCAAACCACAAAAGGGGATCTGGGCTACAGCAGAGGAGGTTGAGGCTCAGCAATAGGGCTTCTGCATAAGGCTCTGGGTTCTATGTCCTGTACCATGGGTGGGGAGGGTGGAGGAGCGCCCACAGCATCCACCACATGCTTTCTCCCCTTCCCTCCTTAGCTGCCTCTCTCATCTCCAGGGGGGAGCCAGATGCAGCCTAGTGCGTATGGAGACTGTTATACTAATGGGCTGGGTATGCTGTGGTAACAAGAAGCCCCAAGACTGCCACAGCTCGCTCAAACCCTGTCCTTTGATCATTTGGTCAGGCCTAATGTTCTCTATAAGTTCCAGGGGGAAATGTTGGAAGAGCCACACTGTCTTGTTCACTGTCTTGAAACATGGCCTCCTCTGAGGTTCCTTACTACGAAGGGAAGGCCATATGTTTGCTCTGCTGTGTTTCCATACAGGTGGGACAGTCACATACCATTGGGCAGATTGACAGCCTGTTCTGCCCAGTGACGACAGCAAGTCCAAGCCATAGGTTTAGTTGAGTGTTGTCCAGCCATGCTTTTCTTTAAAAGGGGCGGAAGTGGGCCAAACTCAAGGCCTTCCCCATGTTTGCAGAGCGTCCTACCTCACACAGCTTCCTTGCACAGAACAGGACAGCATCCTGTGGTTGAGTTTCATCCCCAGCTATGTCTTTCTTTCCCACTACAAGCTTCTCAGTATGATTCAAGTTCAACCTGGATGAGAAAAGGTTTCAAATATAAAGGTAAAATCTGGCACCCAGCTCACTCTCATGGTTTGTGGCACTTGGTTCTATAAAATTGTTGGGTTTCAGCTATTTACTGAAAATTTCAAGTCATCTCGGGTCGCTCCGAACACAGAGAGCAAAAGGGGTTGTGGGAGTCAGGCCACTGCAGTTTCAAGACCTCCTATTGGTCTGTTTCTTTCTCCTCCCCCCCCCCTCTAGTTTTATCTCTTCTCCTTATTTCTCCCCATCTCCTCTCTCTACTCTCTTCCCACTCCCCAACCCCAACCCCCAATGCTACGGACTTCACCATGGAATGCCAGCCCAAACCCTAACAACTTCTGATTTCCCTGCAGTCTGAGTTCAATGGCTTCACCGAGATTCCTTCCGCTGTGCATTTGGTAGGGCCTGTGTTCCTCTCTTTGGCCTTGTAGCCCTGAAGAACTGACAAAAGCTCTGTTGGTTTTTCTAGGCTTGGGAACCCAGGCAGGGTGAACAACCCGATCACCTCAAGGGGACCCTATCCCAGCTTGGATCCTGGCCAGGCAGCCCATCCCCATTGTGTGATCTGCATACGCCATGCCATTGAATAGAATTTCCCATTCACCCAGCTTTACTTTCTCTCTCTCTCTCTCTCTCTCTCTCTCTCTCTCTCTTTCTCTCTTTCTCCCTCCCTCCCTCT